TTGGCACCCCCCTGGCCCACATATATGGGAATGGATTTTGGGGCACCAGTCCCTTAGACAGTGATGCTGTGTTGCCAGGCTCTGAGAAAGACTTGTTGCCTGGATTTAGCGGTGCTTGGTGGGAAGGATCCAGCTTCCCCTTATCTCTACCAATGCATTTCCTCTGGGAAAGTTGGTTTTGCGCCCTTTGCACCCCAGATAACTTTTATCCTCATTTCTTTAGAGGTGAGGGGTGTTGCTCTGATGTTTGGGCATAGTTGGATGAGCATGGGGAGCCTCAATGCAGAGCCAGGGTAAAGAGCATCTGCCACACCATTGACCTCCTACGCTTCCCCCTTCAGCCACAGCCCAAGCACATGGGAACCAAAACTCCCTTTTGGGAGAAGGTGGCTGGAAAACCCCTTGCTGCTCCCATAAAACAAACATCTGTGATTTTACAAAGTGCCCAGCAGCTCCTAGCATGGGCAGTCCAGAGATGTGACCCCAGCCCCGGAACCCCTCTGCAAGGGAATGGGGATGTATCCTCTCACCAGGGTCTTCCCAAAGCACGCAGACAGACATGGAGAAGCACAGAACTGCTTCCTGGGGATGCACAGGACAGATCAGCTCCATTGAGCTGCACCCAGCACAACCCTCGCAGCGCAAGAGTTTCCCTTCGGCAAGGGGTCTCTGCAGCAGGAGCGCCTCCGATATCACTGCACCTCCAGCCCCAGCAGCAGAAAGAAAAGAGATCCCATGGCTGTTGGAACAGAGGGGCCAAGGCACAGGTATGTATAGATCATATATTTGTGTGTGTAACTCTGCACAGAGAACTGCATCCTTACACACCCGCACAGGTAAATACTTATAGTTACTGACCTCTTCAGATTAAAGTCCAAGGCACTTTTTACAGTGAACAGGTTAAAGCCATAGTTTAAAACATGCCTGTTTCTGGGTACAGCTCAGGTTTATGGCAATGCTATGGGGATAGGCTGTTTTCACATAGGCCAGTCCTCGCTCCTGACCCCTAGCCAAGAGACTGGCCCTGAAGGAGGGATGTGAGCCCTGGGCCAGATCCTGACCACAGAGACACGCAAGCAGCTCCCGCTGGCAGGCGTGTTGGCAGCGCCGAGACCCCAGCAGGGGGAAGAACACTTTGGGCAGAAGAAGGAGCAGAGCTGGGTGCACAGTTTGCAGCACCTGGAACACCAGAGCCCCTGGCCAAGAGCACCCACCAGGCAGGTGGTTCTGGAGCCCTGCCTAGTGCCCCACAGGGCTCTGAGGTGGCTCATCCCACAGGAAAATAAATAATGCCATGGAGAAGCTTTTTCTCTCTCCTGCAAAAGCCCCTCTCTATAGCCTTCAGGCCTTTGGATACCTTTCAGGAGGGAGCTTGGAGTCAAGCGAGGAGAAGCTGGGACCAGTGTAGAGCCTGGCAGCAGAATTTTCCCCTTCTCAAGCTCCTGAGGAATCTCCTCCCCCCCAGCAAACACACTTGGTGGCCATGGCACAGGGCTCTGAGCTGGCAGGGAGATGCTGGGCTGGAGAAACCCAAGGGAGAGCAGTGCAGAGGGCCAAGAACTCCAGAAATGCCCTGGCGCCCCTAGACTCAGTTGGCAGCGGTGGAGGCTTAGCCCTGGCCTCCTAGAGGAACCAGCCCCTCTCCTCCATCAGAGCTGCTTTCTGTGGGGAGATTTCAGTTCTGGGGTCCAGCAGGGAGCCTCCAGAACTCAAGGCAGCTCATTGCTGCTAGGGCCCTACTGGGTTTGACTGGCCTGGGAGGATCAGGCCAGCACAGCTGTGACAGTGATAACGGTGACAGCATGGCAGTGACTGCAGCTCTGATTGGGAAGGGCCAGTGAAGGGGCTTTTAGGCTTTCTCTGGACAAAAGCAACAGGCATTGATCCTATAGGTGCTGCTCATTCCTGGACATGTCATGTTCCATATGTGAAGACTGGCCGTGAAGAAGTGTTGGGGCTGCCAAAGAACAGTTTAAGACTTACGATCCAATGGGGATCAGGTCCAGCAGCTCAGGGGCTGGAGGTAAGGAAGAGGTGCTCTCTGAGGCTCGAGCTGTCCATAGAATCACAGAATCACAGAATCACAGAACAGTTTGGGTTGGAAGAAAGTTAAAGCTCATCTCGTTCCACGCCCCCACCATGGGCAGGGACACCTTCCACTAGACCAGGTTGCTCCAAACCCTGTCCAACCTGGACTTGAGCACTTCTATGGGATGGGACAGCCACAACTCAGGACAGCCTGTTCCCAGTTGGAAGGCTGAGATGGAGCAGTCCTTGCAACCTTGTTGCACTTCTCTTTCATGCTCAGGGTTTCATCTTCCTACGCCATCACAACTTGAGATTGAGCAAAAGCTGCAGCTCTCCAGGGCAGGGAGTGAAGCCTGAACTGGACATGTCCACTTGTTATGTGGAAGAAGAGACTGGGACAAGAGGAATGGCACTAAGTTGTACCAGGTTTAGGTTGGATATTGGGAAAATTTCTTCCCCGTAAGGGTGGTCAGGCCCTGGCACAGGCTACCCATGGCAGTGGTGGAGTCCCCATTCCTGGAGGGGTTTAGAAGGTGTGTGGATGTGGCACTTGGGGACATGTGTTAGTGGTGGCCTTGGCAGTAATGGGTTAACAATTGAATTCAACGATCTTAGGGGACTTTTCCAACCTTAAGGATTTCATGGTTCTATGGAAATGTGCCAAGAGCCTGGCTAGAGGAGGGAAGCAGCACGCTTTGCACCACTGTTTCCTCAAGAGCCTCCGTTCTGGAGGAAAGGGGGAGGTTTGACTCTTGCACAGCTCCCCAGGGAGCCAAGTCACTCCTTCAGTTGGAGGAGACAACCTGGTGGGGATGGCTTTCCAGGGAGAAAAGGGTGTCAGACCTTTTCCTAGGGAGAAACAAAGCTCTGGTGCCAGTGGGCTACACGGATCCAGATCTGCTAGAGGTTAACTTCCAGGTAATGGGAATGAACACCTGGGGGATGAAGGATAACGACTGGGGTTCCATGCCCCTCCCTGCCCCTTGTCCTCCATCCTCACCAGCAGCAGCAGCTGTACTCAGAAACAGACATTTTTGGCAGCAGCCTGGCATCGCTGCCTGCCGACAACTGTGTTGGGTACAAAAGCATAATTGAAAGTTACCATAACCATTATAATATAGCAATATATTTCATAGTTAAAATAAACTATTATGCTTTCCCCTATCATTAAAAAAGAAGCGAGCAGTACAGAGGCAAGTTGCAAACCCAGGTCAAAGCTCCGTAAGTCTGGACAGAACCGTCCATGAGTTTGCAGAGGGGACATGGAATTTTTCTGGTATTTCTAGGATGTTTCCTTGCAGGCGGCGCAGGAAGGAGAGTCGTGGAGCTAAAAAAAACCCCAAGGCTGTGCCAAAAATGGGACTGGCTGGGTTAGGTGGGTCCTGGAGGGGCGTCAGGGATTGGCGCCTTTGGAGCATGGAGTCGGATGCTTCCCATCTGCAGGAGGTCGGCATCTCTTTGTGATTAGAACTTGCAGCTTTGCTCTTGTGCTTTTCCTCCACCTTAGTCACTGATCCCAGCTCTTCTCTCTGTTTGTCCCGATGCCATTTGGGGCATCCAAAGGGATGATCTCAGGTGTGCAGACAGCACCAGCTGGGGAGCACTTACTGGAGCCAGGCACTGGAGCCCTGCCAGCTGAGGCTGCTGGTGACTGAGAGCTGCTGGCAGGGAGCAGGGTGGCTCTGGGTGGGCACCCTGGGCTGGATTGCACTGATGGCTTCCTCTGTGCCTGCCCTCCCCGTGGCCTGCAGTCCCGGCAGCAGGGCTGGATGGCAGTTAGTCTCAGTGTTGGCCTTGGTGGAATCCAGTGCCAACGGCAATGGGTCAGGGCTACTGGCACCAGTGTTGAGGCACTGGCATGGGTGTGGGTGAAATACAGGGGTGCAGGGTGGGGGCTGCAGGGTGCATGGGCTGCAAGGGGTGGGATGGGGTCTCTGGGGGTTGGGATGGGAGTTCAGGGGTGTGGGATGGGGAATGCAGGGGTTGGTGGGATGGGGATACAGGTGTGTGCAGGATGCAGGGGGGTGGGGTGGGGGTGTGTGAGTGTGGGATGGGGGGGCAGGGGTGGGTAGGATGCAAGATGCAGGGCATAGGGTGCAGACCCAGGGCTGCCAGGCACCAGGCAGAAGGGTCACTGGGGTGCAGGTTGTGCTGACATGAGGCCAGGGGATGCAGGGTGTGGGGTGTGCAGGGATCCACCTCCCCAGCCCTGTCAAAATCCTGCGACAGCAGCAGCTCTGCTCCAGGACAAGGGTCTCTTGCTCCAGTTGTGATCCCAACCCTCTTGCCATGGTCCTTCCCCCCTCTAGCACCTCAAGGCCTGCGAGCTGACAGCAGGCCTCTTGTCTCACTTGGTTGGATTTCCCAGACTTGATCATGAGCCTGTAGGGAGGGTCCTGGATTCCTGCTGGCAACATCGATCTTTGAGTATCTATACTTCCTCTGGCTCTCTGACACTCCAGGACACGTTTCTGCATCTCACCCCATGCACAGCTACATTCCATGGGCAGTTTGCTTCTATCTGAGGCCCAGGAAGCATTTTTCTCCACTGGCTGCCTGCAGGCCAGGGAAAATGCTGCATTTCAGGCTCTTTCGCAGAATTTGTAACCTTTTCTCCATTGTTACTCTGGAAACCTCCCAACAGAGATGGGCAGGAGCTTCTGCCGGACAAGGTGGACTGGGGGGCACCCGTAGGCACACAGGGAGCAGCAGCTGGGCTAAAAATAGACCTTGGGGGACTGCCAAGGCACTCCCAGCCATCCTAGGAGATCAATTACACTAATTACAAGAGCTTGAAAGAGCAACTAGTTCTCAGAAGCCGAGTATCTCCTGCTGGCCGAGGACCAGGAGCGATGGCCACATGAAGGATGGGGATGACCATACTTGCTCCCCTGCTACCAACACCTCTGCAGCACTGGGAGCTAATGTCACAGAACTCCTGCTGTTGCCTTGCAGCCTTCCTCCTCCTCCTCCTCCTCCTCCTCGTCCTCCTCCTCCTGGGGCCAGTGGGCTGGCAGCCCTCCTCACTAACTACTGCTTGTTTTCTATGCAACTCTAATTGCAGGGCACAAGGAGTATAACCACCTCACACCACCGGCAGCAAAGAAATTCCTCGGCATTGGCTGTGGGGAAGTGGTGGTGTGAGAGGGTGGTGTACCTCTGCCCCTACATGTGCACAAAATCCAGCGTTATTTATGGAAGGGAAAAAGTTACAAAGAATAACATTACAGGCTGAGTATACCTGGAGTAACACAGTGACTTTGATTACAATTACTGACACTGCTGGGTGAGGTGTAATTAATAGCACAGAGTAATTACGCGGTTCCTTCATCTGTTTAAAAATATATAAATATTCTCTGCTGAGTTTTCATGGAAAGCAGCAAACACCAGCCCCAGAGTCAGAGCCCTGCAGGTCTCCATGCATGGACTCAGGAAAGCAGAACTGAGGAGGAAAAAGGGAGAAAAGGTGAAAGAAGAACTGAAAGTAGCTGGTTCCAGAAGCAGCCAAATGATGCCCAGGGTACCTCAGGAAGCTGAACACCAGCAAAAAAGTAAAATGGAGCCTGAGGGGCTGCACTTTGTCAGGCATGGGTGGCAGTGCCATTGCCGAGATGGTTCCAGAGGGTGCTGCTGCTCCCCACCAAACCCAGCAGAAGTGGCATGAAGGTGATGGGCTTTGTTTTAAACAGATGAAGCACCCACCCTGGCTACCACATCACTTGCCAGTGAGGTCCCGCTCGGCCCCAGTGGATTTGACACTGCCAGCTGGGCTCAAGTGTGGATGTTCCTGGTACAAGTGGAGATGGTTGGAGCTGATGGAGTGTTCCATCCAGTACTTCTGAGGCTAGCTCAAAGAACCCACTGCCTTCTCAAAGTGTTGGGGGACTCCCAGAAGGCAGTGATGTGAGCACCTGAAGACTCTCTGGCACCAGGGCTGGCCCGCCAGCCCCATCACTGGCCACCGGTGCGTTGGCCAGGGGCAGCCCTGCGCGGCCCTGCACGCTGTAGGCACTGCTGTCCTGGCTCTGGCACATGTCTCCAGACAGGATAAAACACTGAGGACCAGAAAGAAGTGTTCCTTGTTCTTCCCTGGACAGAAAACACTCAGAGCTCCAGAGAACCCCCCCAGGCAGGTTACAGCCAGGAACCGTCACCCAGCTGGCAATGTGAGGGGGGGTTCTTGTGGGTCCTGGCAAGGATATGGGATGGAGCGTGGGCAGCATCGGCCAGAGCCTGTGTAAGGAATCCCTACGTTGGCATCCGCCTGGTGGGGCTTGGAGGTGGTGAGAGGGGAGTGCCCCACAGAAAAAAACTCTCCCTCTGGTGTCTCCGTTGCTTCAGTGCTTCTGACTTGATGTTTTGTTTTGTTTTCAAATGTGAAGACCTGAGATTGAGCGTGGGTTTTCTGTCTGCCACCAGACACCACGGCATGGGCTGGCCCGAGGCGTCACCTCCTGTCCCCTTTCCTTCACCACGTGTAGAGGCACCTGAACAGGGATGCGATTCCCGATACCAAGGCGTTGGCAAAGCTCCAAGCATTGCTCGGCACTGCTGGTCCCACCGGCTCCGGCTGAAGGGTCCTGCAGTGGTTCAAGGACCAGAAGAAAGTTCACGGAGACCTCGTGACCTGTATGGAAATTGCTTCCCCTGTCCACAGGGGGCTGAGGGGCTGCATTTTAGCAGCTGCTTGAGCTTGTGTAAGGGGTGGGGAAGGAGGTGGAGCTAACCCCAATGGGGCTCTCAGAGAGAGGCGTTTGGGGGGTGCCCACTGGCACTCCAACCCCCCGCGCCTCCAGGACGGCAGTGAGCAGGCGCTGCTGCTGCTGCCGCAGCATGTCAGCCATCAGCAGTGGCAGGGAGTTGAAGCTGGCACTGAGCTGCTCCAGCTTGGATTCCAGGCCACTGATCTGCTTCTCCAGGTCCTCGCTGCGGTCGTTGAGCTCGGTGATGAGGTCATACATCACGTTCTGCATCTGGGGAGGGGACATAGGGGATAGCAGAGGGGTTAGTACCATGGCTGGAGGGGTTAGTGCTGCTGCTGCTGGCAGAGCTGACCCCTTTAGCCCAAGAGTTCCCAGGCTGCTGTGACGATGATTTGGCTCATCCCTGGACATCACAGCAAGGAAACTCTGCCAGCCCTGTGTTGCTGAGCAGTGGCACCCCTTGCAAAAGCGAGTGCAGGTAGCCCCTGGCTTGTGTATGAGTATCTCCTCCTGCCTTCCAAGGGCAGCCATCCCACAGCAGCTATTCCTGGCTGACACCAACTAAGCTGGAGTATTTTGCGGTCAGCCAGGTCTGCTTTACTTTTTCTGAGTGAAGAGAAACACTCGGGTAGTCTGGCTGAGCCACAAGGGACTTGCCTTTGAGAGGTCGACAAGGGTGTTGGCTTGGTCACTCAGCTTCCTCTGCTCCATCTTCACACTCCGCAACCTGGGGAGAAGGAAAGAGCAACATGGTTGCAACACCTACCCAGTTTCAAAGTGCAGCTGGAGAGCTGCCTGCATCCCAGGCAATGGAAAACTGTCCCCACACCCCTGCCAGGGACTAGGCCTCAGTTCATCTAGGGCTCAGCATGCCCCCAACCCAGTGTGTGGCCCCTTACTGGTGAATGGCTTGTAGGAACTTCCTCTGGTGCTTCCTGACTTTGGCATGGTCGATCTTCTTCAGCAGCTTGGTATGCTTGTAGATGAGCCACGTTTCCCGCAGGACGTTGGCTGCCGCGTTCTTGATCTGCAAAACAAGAGCTGGCTGCAGGTCACCAGGCCCCAGCATGTGGGATTTCACAGAGACATTTGTCTGGCTCTGCCATGAACTGGTGTCGCAAGAGCACTTGACTGGCCCCAGCTGGAGCGAGGCGCTCGGCCTCTCAAGGAATGATGGGCAGCTCAAGCAAGAGCAAGGGCAGGCAGAGCTCTTGGCACCCACACCACCGCCCTGCTCTGCACTGATGCTTCAGCACTGGGCTCCTCGCCTGCATGTGAAATTGTACCCTAAGGTTCAAGAAAAAGAAAAAATTCCAAAGTTTTTCTCTATTCCTGCATCCATCTGCCACTCTTGGCAGGTCCTGGTTGGTCCGCAACTTCCGCAGGCTCCCCGGCTAAACCGCATCTCTGCTGCTCTCACTCCAGGAGGAATTGGCTGCCGTCTGCCTGGCATGGAGCCAAGAGATCCATATCCATGGCCAGAGGAGAGGGCTGACCAGCTGTTTGCTTTTCCGGCTCAGTCACACCGAGGTCCTGACTGTCCCTGCGGTGTCAGGGCTCTGGCTGGGATGTGGCTCTGCTGGGGGCTCCATTCTCATTACATCATATGCCATTGTTGGTTTGCCAATGTTTTGCCATGATGAGGCTACTGAGACCAGAGACCTCCTGCAGCTCCCACATGTTACCAGGGATGTGACACCAGACCCTGGCATGACAGCGACCCCATAGATCCCCCATTGCAGGTTCTATGTCCCTCCTTGGGAATGGAAATGGCAGGAGCCTCACAGTGTGGCTCTTGTCTGCAGTGAGCACTGAATTACCAAAATCTGGTTGTCCTCCTGACACCAACAGAAGTGAGATCAAGCTCTGCAGAAGGAGGGAGTCTGTATCCTCCAAGAGGGAAAAAAAAAATAGGCTTTTCCTTTCTGGGGTGTAACTGAGCATCCTGCATTGCCTAAATTCCCAGAACAGAGCTTGATGGTGTTTGCTTTCAGCATAACTCTTGCACCTGAGCTGGGCCCATCGCACTTGGACAACTTCTTCCACCATGGTACCCACAGGACCCACACCCAGAGGTGCTGACACCTTCCTCCTGCCATGGTATCCCAAATCCCCAGCTCCTGGCAGATGACATGGACCCCTGCTCCTGCTGCCCCCCCATGGCACCTTACCCGCTTCGTCAGCTGTGTGTCCATCATGAAGTTGTGGACATGTTTCTCAGCTTTGGTGAGCTCCAGCTTCCTGGCCACCACAGCCACCACCAGTGCCGTGCAGCCAGCACCCTGTTCAGGGATATCAGTTGGGGAAATGGTTTGTCACCCTCTTGTAACAGCAGCACTTACACCCTCACCCTTGCAATCCCCTAATTAACTAAAGCTACACGCCCTCCCCATTACCCTAACAAGGAGATATCACAGAGCTTGGGTGTCCTTGAGCAGCTGATGGGGGACTGGGTAATTAACGGGAGAGACCAAGGCTATTGACAAGGTCAGTGGTGAGCCTGTGCCACCACAGGCCAGGGATCTGCCCCATGCTGGTGCCCTGTAGGATGGGGAGCCCCCCACTCCAAAGAGGGGGGAGTGGGAGAGCGGTGGGGAAGCACCAGGCAACCTCGGTGAGAACAGGGAAGGGGCCCCAAATCAGGACCCCGCAAATCACTACAGCCAGCGCTCTGGCAGAGCCATGCCAGCCTGGCAAGCGCTCTTTAATTTAATAGAGTCATTAATTAACATGATGCCCTGAGCTGAATCCTTCCATATCCTCGGAAGTGGGACCACTGCACTCTCTCAGCTCCTGCCATTTCTCTCTTGGTGGGGCGACCACCCCTGGTGCCGTGGCTTGGGAAGCCCAGTAGAGCCCCCAGCCTCAGCGGGTACAGGATCTGCATTCGTGGGGGGGGGGTGTGTTGCTGTGCTGGGGGTGGGGGACACTTTGAAGGATGGTGTCTCACTGCAAAGCTGTGAGACACGGGCTGGGGGACAGCTTTGGGAGCCTGTGGCACTGGGACTGCCTTGGCCAAGCCAGTGGCTGCTCCCCTGCTGGGAATCACTGCATGGCCCCCACCCATAGGAAGTTGTTCTCCCTTGCTTGGCTCCCACCAATAGAACCGGCTTCATCTGAGATGGATCAAAGGTTTGCAGATAATATAAAATTAATCCCTGATGGTGGAGCCGCCATGGCTGAAGGCTCTCATGGGGCTGCCCTTAGCTGGGAACAGGGATGGCTCCATCCCCAGGGCCTGGAGCTAAGGTGGGCAGAGCCGGAGTGCTGGGTGTTGGGATAAATCTCTGGAGGAGCCATGGCCACTGGGCCCCTGACCACTCCTTCAGCAGCCCTGGCTGGCAAGTCCCACGAGCTGGGAGATCTCATGGGCACCTTGGAGCAGGTATGCCTGAGGCCCTGGCAGATGGTGACGTTTTGGCCAGAAGGAAGGGAAGCCATGGCAAAGCAGTGATGCTGGCAGGGGGTGAAGGGCTTCCAGCTGGTTCCAGCTCTTAGCAGGAGTCAGCAGCATTTGGAATCACTCTGAGTGACAGAAGACGGTGTGCACCAGGATGGCCAAGAGATGCTCAGGGGCCCTTCTTCTCCCTGGGCACATCACTGGCCCTACTGTGGGTGGCTTCCTCCACGCTTACTGAATACAGGTCCAAATCCACCCCAAATTCACCAGCTGGGACTGCTCCATCAGCTTCCAGGCTGTGAGACCTCAGACCTGAAGCCTCACACCTTGTACATGGACAAAACAGCTGGGAAATAGGTCCCCTTAAAATCCAGTGGCCCCACTGCTGCGATGGGGACAGGCAGAACCCGTGGGATGGGCAGCTGGCTTGGCACAGCCCTTACCATGATGCCAGTGAGGAGGCAGACTCCCTTCCCACAGTAGGTGTGGGGGACCATGTCACCATAGCCGATGGAGAGGAAAGTGATGGAGATGAGCCACATGGCACCCAGGAAGTTGCTGGTTACATCCTGCTGGTCATGGTACCTGCCAAGGAGACACAGACATCAGTGTCACAGCAGGGGACAGGGATGGGTGTGGGAGAAAACAGGGGTGCCTGGGCACAGTGGCTCCCCTGGCACAGGCTGTGCTGGGGTTTAGGATTAACAACACAGCAGGACGTCCCATAGCAGCAGTGGTTGCACAATTTCTGATGCAGAAAAACCCGGATGGACAAAATCAGAGCAAAAACTCAATGGAAAGGGCTTCTGCTTTCAGTCAGACCTGTCACCAAATCCTCGTCCCGCTCCCTGTGTCCCCAGTGTCATGTGGTGCTGTGGCGAGAACTGGCTGATGGGAGAAACAGCTGTGGCTCTGCAAAGCCCTCGACTGCAGCAGCCCCACTGCTGGCGTCCTCCCCTGTTCCTCGTGCTGCTGCAGCCTGGGCTGTGCTGCCCCAGGGGACTGCCGTCAGCAGCCCCAGAAGAACCGCCAGGGACGGATTCTACCCAGCCTCCAGCATCCACTTGGCTCTCAGATGGTGCAGGGGAATGGCTCACACACTCAAGACACAGCACATGTGGAGTGGCTGCAGCTTTGGGGATGTGCTGCAAACTTTCCAGGTCATGTCCCTGCTGAGCTATGAGCTCAGCAACTGCTCTGGCCGTCCTGGACGTGGGCTGCAGCTCCTCCAGCAAACATGGGGGCCCCAGACATCTCCTGCTCCCCAGGGCTGGTGCAAACCTGGCCAAGCTGTGCAAGTAATGCTTCCCGGGGGATGCAGCGTTGACTCCTGGCAGCAGAGCGGGGCCTGGCCCAGTCTGCAGCAGGACTTGGCCCTGAGCCCTGGGCAGGGGCAGGTAGCACCTTTGTCCCCTCATGGATAGGATAGTTGCCCTTCAGCCTCCCCGGCAAGTCTTCTCCCAGCCTTTTCATGGAATCATGAGAGAGAAAACAGATGGAGCTTTTGGCAATCCTGGCTCCCAGCTCATTGCTCCCAGAGCAGTTGGGTTTTCTCCTGTTACGAAATGTTTTTCCCTCAAGTAACTGGATACTCAAATGAGGTCCTGGTGCAGGAAAAAGCACCCTCAGCCATGGTGAGAGTTGCTTTGGGCAGCTGGCCAGGGGAGCTATAGCCCATAACCACAGTGGGGCTCCCCAGAATCCCAGCGCCAGCAGTGGCATGCACCCCCTATCCCGGCCAGTGTATTCCCCTGTGAAGGGCTGAGCCCAGCTCATCACATTGGATGGAATGTCTTGGGGGACGACCCCGAGAGCATCAGGCTGGACAAGGGGGTTACAGCCCAGCCGGACAGATGGACGTTTTCTCTTCTGACCAGCTCTTGGGGCAGAAGGAGCTGATAAACCAGAGGCTGGCACTCACCACAGCTGGTGTGGGCAGGAAGAGGGGCCACCTGCTCATGCCAAAGGACTGCTGCAATCAGCCAGACTTGAGTACTGCTTCCCACTGTCTCCTCGCTCGCCTGCCCCCCCCTCGAGGCCACAGCCACCCCGCTGTGGCTGACACAAGCATCACCCCCCGCCTGCACCGCGCCGCCAAGACGCCGCAGCAGTACCACCTCGGCTGAACTAACCCCACGGCTTTGGTGGCCCCAGCCCCGGTGGGTGCCCCGGGGGTGCCCTGGGGGTGCGCCTGGCTGGCTGCACGAACGAGGCACACATGCGGGCGCACGTGCGCGCCGTCGGCGGGCAGGCCCGCAAGCGCAGGCAGCGCAGGCAGCGCAGGCCCACCGCGGCGGCTTGTTGCTCGGTGGGCCAGGCGAGCGGGCGAGGTTGCTAAGCGACTCGCTGCCTTCGGAGAGCTGCGGCCCCCCGGCGCGCACGGGAGGATGCTGCACCCACAGGCTCTGGAGCAGCCCACGGTGCCGAGGGGACGTGCCATGGCCGTGCCACCCCCAGCCCCGGGGACGATGTCTTGGAGCGACACAACCACCTCTGAGCTGCCTGGCCCCCGGCAGGTGCTGGTTGAGAATGGTCCTGGAAGGAAGAGAAAACTGGTTTCCAGTGCCGGCGCAGCAACCTGCCATCAGTGGGGACAGGGGGACACATTCTGGGTGGCCCTTGTGGGAGCTGTGTGACACCCAGGGCTCGTGCATGCCCCAGGGACAGTGTGTCCCTCTCACGTGGAGCATGTCCCAGAGGTTTGCATCCCCTCAGTCCTGCCTCCCCCAGGGCTGATGCATCTCCAGGCCACCTGGGTTCGCTTCTGCCACTCTATTGACAGAGGGAGGTGATGCCAACTGTGGTGCTGGTGATCTGCAGCACCTCGTCTGTGTCATTTTTGGGATTTTTTTTTTGGTCTCTAATGGTTCTTTATTTATATTGTATTTTCCTGCCTAAGCCTCGCAAGATGTGAGATCACCCCTCTTGTGTGTGTCCCGGGTGCCTGTCTGCCTGTGCCCTATTTAGGATTCACTAACAACAATCTCCAAACACAGTTAAGCAGCACCCAAGGATCCAGCTCAAAAGGAGAGCATCATTAAGGGAGGCAGGAAGGCAAACACAGCCTGTAAAAGTTTGAAAATCTCAGGGTACCATTCTATACCTCTACCACAGCACTTAATCTGCCCTAATGCCTCTTTGTGGGTGACCAGAGCAACAGGTCCCACCCTGGGGAAGAGGAGGGGTGGCCTTCCTCTCGTCTTGCAAGCACCTGGAAGCAATTTGGGTGTCCCTGGTGACCCTGGTTGGGTAATGCCAGTTGGGGTGTCAGTTCCAAGGATGACACAAAGTTGCCACAACAGGACACAGGACACCCTGCGGGAGACCTGCCTTCCGTGCCCTGGGATGAACATCTGCTGCCGGCACCTTGCACCATGGCCATGGAGAAAACCCACTGGCACAGCACTGGGGATGCCACCACCACAGCCCCCTGGCTCCCTTGGTGGACAAAGAGTGGTGGCAGGCCCTCGGGAGATGGAGATGCACTGGTACCCACCAGGCATGCCAGGGCTGGCACGATGCCATCTGGCTGTGGGTTTTTCACCTCAGTTTTGTCATGGCAGTCAGTCACAGTGATGCCAGAGCCTGAGCCAGGCCCCGCCTCTTACCAGCGGCACCTCTGGCCTCTCCCCATACACAGTCCCCCAGCTCCTGCTGTTCTCCATGTCCCCCACCCACACTCCTGGGGCTCCTGGCACCTCACACCGTCCCCTGGCCCAGGCACTGTGCTGCGAGGACAGGGCTGACCCTGCTCTGCCTCCTGCTCTGGGGACAGGGCTTGGTGGGGGGAACCCGTGGTTGCCGAGGCCTCAGAGCCTTGCATCCCTCCCACAGGATGCTGGGACATCGCAGCTTCACTGAGCATCCCAAATCGCCACGCATCCCAAACCGTGAACTGCTGACCGTCCAGAGCTGCTGCACATCACCCTGAACTGCTGCACATCACCCTGAACTGCTGCATATCCTGAACCACTGATCATCCCAAACTTCTGCACATCCCAAACTGCTGCTCATTGTGAACTACCGCGCATCCCAAGCTGCCAAGCGTTCCAAACCGCCACGCATCCCAAACCTCCACACATCCTGAACTGACGTGCCTCCTGAACACTGAGCATCCCAAACTACCAAGCGTTTTGAACTCTTGAGCATCCTGAATGACCAAGCATCCAGAAATGCCACATCTCCCAAACCACTGCCCATCCTGAACCACCACGCACTCCAAACCTCTCTCACCTCTCGCACACACGGACTGTCCATGCAGCGATGATCCAAAGGGAAATGCTGAAGACCAGCAGCACCGTCCCGGGGCATATGGTCATGAGTGTCTTCATGACGAAGCGAGTATTGAAGTTGATCTTGTTGAGGGCCCCGATGCTGCGTGAGGATGCGTCGGTGAAGAGCTTGCTGTGCAGCAGCATCACTCGAGCGATCAGGTAGAGGCGCAGGAACATGGGGATGGACAGGATGATGTCCACATCCGCCTCTGCCCGAGAAGGTGTGTAGGAGAAAGCCAGGCGGGCTGTCCAGAAAAATTTGTACTCCCCAGGGATGGGGTGTATGGCACAAACCAGCATCTCCAGGCTGATGTAGAGGATGCGTTCATAGGTCATCGCTATCCGCCAGTCGTCAGCTCCATTGTCGATCACAAAGAGCTACCGAGATGCAAAACCACGTGGTTACTGGTGGCCCCAGCCAACCTACCCCACCGGCCTCTCACTATAGGCAGCAGGGGTCTGACACTAGAGCTGAAAGGAGCTGGGTGTGGCATGGCCAGGAGCACTGAGGATGGACAGGGTAGGAAAGGGTGGGAATGAGCTATCACCAGCCCCTCTGCTGATCTGCCAGTGTGTTTCAGGGATAGCTGCAGTGCTGGGGACACTCCAGAAGGCTTTAAGGTGCCTGGCCTTGAGCATGTGCCCAGGCATGACATGGGGACAGCTCACTGAAACAGCAGCTGGCAGGAGCCCACCTCCCAGAATGGCCCCCTCACCCAGGCCACAGAGACGGGTGAGCTGTGGGGCCACAGAGCACCAGCATGAGCCACCCCAGCCCCTCTGCTCCCACTGGTGCTGCACTGGTGTCACTGACAGCCACCACACCCTGAATTCCAGGGCAATTTTTGGGGAGGGAACACCACAGTCTCAGCATCCAGCTGCTGGCAGAGATGGGATCCAGTTGTCATGGCAACAGACGGTTCATCCTGGGTACACCAGCTCCTCTCCCACCATCAGTGATGGAGTTAGGGTCTCTGCAGGAGCTGGGGGGGATGGCAGCTTGGGCTGGCCTTTCTGGAATGCCACCAGAGCTCTGGAAGTCATCCACCCTGTCCTACCTTGGCAGGTCTGTTCTGAGGCTGCCATCGGCTTCTCCCTGGTGCAATGGGGACACTGGTGTCACCCACAGCAGCAGGAACGTTCTCAGGGCCCCTCTGCAAGCAGCACTTGGCAAAGATGCCACCAGGAAGGGATCAAAGGGGATGTGGCAGCTGGTGCTACAGTCCATGTCCTTGACCCTGCAAGCACAAAGCGTGCCCAGGGGTCCAGGACCTATCGCAGTCACTCCAGCCAGGGCAGTGGGTGGGGAGCATGGCTCCGGCTGGCACTGAGCCCAGGAACAATCCTCCTGCCCTCCCAGAGGCCCCAGTGCACCTGTGCCAGCCACCCTGCTGGCAGGGCACAGCCCTTGGGGTTCTCCCTGGGGATAGCAGGAGCCACTGGGACTGACTCATGGAATGGCCGTCCCGGCCACCTCCCTTTCTGTAGGGAAAGCTCTGCTCTTTTTAGCTGCTTTGTTTGAGAAAATGTTTATAAAAATGCTCCAAGCTGTCAAGGGAGATCCTCAGGCATTTAGCAAGCTGACAGTCCATTCCTTCCTGGAAAAGGGTGTTAAAATAAACAAATTAGGAAGAGGAAAAAGGCCTTTTGACTGCATAGTGGGGGGTTGCCATAGTCCAACTCAGGTAAGGGAAGGAGCAAGGGGGGATCCAGGCAGGTGTCCCCTGAGCCAGCCCCTCTCAGCTCTGCACCTTTGAAGCATCGTTGTGGGTTTCCGTGGAAACCTGGTGTGGTCCAGTGGTACTCAAAGGGGCATCCCCAGCATCACTGGCTCCAGCAGGGGAAGGAACAAGTGTGTCAGCCACCACATCTCCAGACAAGTGAAGCCCAAGAAACCACTAAGTTGCAGCATGGGGACAAAAGCTTCACCAAAATGCGCAAACAGCCCTGGGCACTCCAAGCACGGGGACAAGGGGGGCTCTGCCTCCCCAAACGCCTTGGCTGGCACTGGCAAACTCGCCAGCACTGCATTCCTTCATGTGTTGTAGTGATAACGGCATGCTGGCAAGGGATGGCACATTCCACACCTCCACCCAGCACCAGAGACATTGCTGGGGTGCCCCAGCCCCAGAGAAACTGAGGCACAGAAAGATCTTCAAGTATCCCAAGGACTAATTAACACAATTAGGAGGGTCATACAATCACAGACTGGCTTTGGCTGGAAGAGACCTTAAAGCTCATCTCATTCCAAGCCCCTGCCATGGGCAGGGACACCTTCCACTAGACCAGGTTGCTCCAACCTGGCCTTGGACACTTCCAGGGATGGGGCAGCCACAGCTTCTCTGGGCAAGAGAGGAAGAGGGAATACTGAGGGAAGAGACTGAAGTCATTGTTTCCCGGAGGCTGGGAGGTCTGACAGTGCTATGGCCGTGTGAGAACAGCCCCCTCCTTGGGTGAGAGGGACAAGAAGCTGAGGATTTACAGCTCTAGCAGCTCCACTCCACCCCAGTTGGATTATCAGCAATGCTTTTACAACACTTAAGAGATAATAGGGTGATCAGCAGCCAGCACATCTCTGTCTGGAGCAGCTCGAGTCAAACCAATCTCATTCCCCTCCTTGCCAGTCTAACTGGCCTGCCAGAGCAGCCAGGACTTTAGTGAGGTTTGGTCTCTGCGTGGAGAAGGACAGCAGTGGGATTTTGGCTCTGGTCAAGGCGGGAGAGGGGGGATGACCTGACGGCTGTGAGGGTGGACGCTGTATTTGCACAACATGCTGCCAGGAACAACAAGCAAAGGAAGCCACGAGCACCAGGGCATGGCTCGCCCAGTTGACCCTGACCGCTGCCACCCCAGGGTAAATATTATTCCAGCAAAAACCACAGCTCCCAAGTACTTGTTTTGAGCAACCCACCCCCAGGCTTGGTCCCCATGCAGGCAGGCTGAGCTGGAGTGGGGGCTGCAGGGACAGAGGCGGGCAGGGACCAGGATGCTGGCAAAGCCACACTGGCACCCAGCCCCGAGAGGGACAAGTTGGGATTATGGTACACTCAGGACTGGGAGCTTCAACATCCCTTCCCGGGATGCTCCTTCTCCTGACCGGTGATTCATTCCTCCCATGCCCAAAACAGGCCGGCATTGTGCCGAAGCTAGTTACGGTGGGGAAGTGCAGCCTTCCTGTCACAAACTGGGAGCCCTTTAACTTCCCAAGGAGGAAGAGAATGTGCAGCCCTGATTAGGTAAGGATTTCACAGCTTTCCTTGGCACCTCGGCTGCTCCAAGCCCTTCCTGGCCACAGCTTCCCCCAGCCACCAGCAGATCCACCGGGCACCCGGCTCACCGCCCCCCAAGGCCCTGGCAAGGAGGGAGGAGGTTCCATGCAGGTAGTGAGCTCAGATACTATGTCCCACCCAGGTGGCTGGAAAATCCCTCAGCCCACCCCAGCAGCCCCTCACTTGGCACTGATGATGCCAGCACCTACCTGCACCTCCCGTGTGTGGTAGGCAATGATGAGGCCCAGCAGGATCACGGTGGAGAGGCTAATAAGGCATTTCAGGGCCAGGGAGAACATGGAGTCCTGCAGGGCAAGAGTGGGGAAGGCATTAGGGGGTGTGCAGCTGTGGGACACTGTTGGCCCTGGGCTCCACACCCCAAAGAAGGTGCTGACCCCCAACAGCTACTATCTCCCCCTCAATAGCACTTTGGCTGCCTCAGCCCCCACCCTAAGCAGCTTGGCATGGTAGTGAGGGCACCATCAGCACCATCAGCATCACTGGCACCTCTGGCATCCAGCACCACTGGTACCACCAGCACCGTGGGCCCTTCCTCCAAAACTCTTTTTTAAATTTAATTCTGCTGAGTGCAGTTCCCAGCCTCCCCTCACTGAGATGTGTGACGCCAGCGCCCTGGCCCCATCCAGCCTGAGCCCAATATTATGGCACCCAAATGGGTGGCCTAGATCCTCCTGCTAATTAGTCCTATGTAAATTAAACCAGCTCCTGATTCACTGGTGGCCAAAGTGGCTGATCCCCAGGACCCCACTGGGAAAAACAGGATTCACCGTTTCCTTTGGACACCGGTAAGCTCATGTGGGTGCAGCCACAGACTGACCCCACCAGTGCAAGGGCTTTGGCAGCACCTCACCAAGTTGTTATCCCTAAACCAACCTGCCTTGCTGCTTCACCCGTCCCACACCCCCTTCCCCCATCCCTACCATGGTGAGACCTGGCACACTCATGACATGTTCACGGCAGGCCCTCCTTGGCTCGCCAGTGTGCTGGGCTGCCTTCAGGTTCCCTTGGCTCCTTCTCACCGGTGTTCCTCATCCCTGAGGGGTGTTTGCACGCGGAGAAGGGACTATTTGCTGCGGAGGCGGTGATGCATTGTTAACAACTTGGCTCCAGCCGCACAATTGTGTGGATATAATGGCTGGTGTTGAGAGAAGTGCTGGGACCAAATACTAGCTATTAATAGGCAAACTCCAGGGCAGAAATGTGGCAAGGCAGCTCTGGCCAGAGCCTTCCCAGTGGCACCAACCCTGCCTGATGCATGAGCATCCACTGGCTCACCTGGCATATGTTACCCACTACATTTACCAATGCCTCCTGCCAGTGTCAGGTCCAAAGAGCTGTTCCAGGATCCCGTGCTCGCAGCAAGCAATATGGAATCTTGGCTGAAATGGGGCAAGACCTTGGCACCCGCAGCACATGTCCCACTGCACCACGTGGGTGGCAAGGTGCTTCACCCCAGCAGTGCCGTTCAGGTGGTTGGAAGCAGCAGTGCCGTCCCACAGGCAGGAGAGGCCCTGTCCTGCCCACACTGGAGTGACGGACAGGGAGCAGGCAAACCCTGGCCACTGTGTCCTCCCTTCCCAAATCAACCCTGGCACCCTCTGGCTGGGAGCATGTGGTAGCATGGCTGGGGCTATGGGGCAGAGCTGGAGCTGGGCCAGTGCCAGCAGCACCGACATCCCAGTCCGCACAATAGCAGCTGGTCCTGACCCTATATAGGTGCTCCCATGCTCATGGTTGTGTCCCTGCTGGCAAGCTCTGGTTTTCCAGCGGGGGCTGATAGGGGTAAATTTACACCCATAGCCCCACTGCTGTAGATCTGGCCAAAGGCCTGGGGAGAAAAGGGCCCAGGGACTCCCCTGCACCCTGCGCTTGTCAGCACAAGCGTTCACACCACAGTGGGGCAGGGGTGCAGCAGCAGGTCACAGCTGCTGCATGGTGGCAGCGCTGACTCACAGGGTCTTCCCCAGCTGACAAAGCAGCCCAGTGTGCCAGGGCCAGTGAGCGTGGCAGCGGTGCTGCTGGCAGCTTGGTGAGGGTGGACAGTCCCCCCGGTGCCAGGCAAGCAGGCACATGGAGCCTGCAAGGGCGGCCGCGGCTCAACAGGTACAGGCGCAGGTGGGGGAGAGTGGTTTGGCCTTGCTCCTGCCAAAGGAGAGTGGGAATCACTGGGAAAAGGCTCTGGCAGTGAAGCATCCTTCTGCCTTAGCAGGGGAACCGGGGATGCCAGTTTGGCACCAAGGCCTCCCACTGCCTCGGACAGAGCAGTGGAACTGCTGCCTGCAGCCCCCACACACCCACTGTCGCTGTCAGCCATGGACAGACGGCACTCAGGAGCCCCCCCACCAGGCAGCTCTGTGGGGAGGCAGCAGGGTCCCCTACACCCACGAGACCCCCAGCCACGTCCCTCCCTTCCTCCACCTCCTCCACCCACACTGCCCTCCCCGCTGCCCAGGCTGGATAATGGCAGGAAGTGGTGAGCACCCCCTTCCCACCTTGCTCCTTCCCCTCCACCGGTGGCACTGTGGCGAACGGACCCCCGCTGGCTGCCCCCCAGCCCCCTTGGCAGTGCCGTCCCTCTGACGCCCATGGGTGCTGCTGCGGGTGCCGATGCCTTCCCCTCTCTGGATAGGTATAAATAACATGACAGATGTCTATACAAAGAGTTATTCATATCGCTGCCAACCAGCGCAGCCCGGGAGCAGGAGCTGGAAGGGATGTGGGGGGGAGAATTATAAATAAAAGACACTGTCCTGCAAAAACAGAAGAAAAAAAAAAATGGAAGGAAGGGGTGTGGAGGAGGAGGAGGAGGGAGGGGGTGCTTTGCTGCACCACCAAGGGCGCTTTGAGGAGCACCTGACCATGGCAGCAACAGGCACCGCAGACTTCAGTGGGTCAGTGCCCGTCGCTGCGGGTGTGTGGGGCAGGACTCGGCACAGCACTCACTGGCACACAGCCCTGGCAGCCCCCGGTCCTGTGGTTGCCTGTCCAACACCTGTGGCTGCGGGGCATCCACTAGGCCCTGGGGACATCCATCAGTCCCCCCCCAGCCTGTCCAACCCTGTTGCACTCTGGATGGGCCAAACAGCTCCAGGTCTATCCTATGGGACACCAGCTGGGCCAAATGGCTCTGTGTTTATCCCGTGGGACACTAGATGGGGCAAACAGCTCCATGCTCACCCCACCAGCCACTGTCTGGTACCACCAGCTCCACACACACCCCCCTGGCCCCATCAATACCTTGGAGTAGAGCCCCCAGGAGAGCTCAGTCTCGATGACCATGACAACAATGCCGAACATGCCGAAAATGAGCGCGTAGTCACTGA